TAAAATAGTGTGAAAATATGCACATGCAAATAGCGATGAGGATTTTTTAAAATGTTCAGGTCGTTTTTTTAATTATGGAAAAATCTTAATTGGTTTACAATGTTTTATTCTGATCAATATGTGAGATGTATATCCAGCAATGATTTATAAATAACTATTGATTTGATTGTTTTACCCATCTCTGGCATATGAAATTCTTCTGGATTTTTTGTTTGGCTGGCTTGATGAAATCTATGTGCCAACCCGAGAAGGAGGAAGTAATCACAGAATGCTTACCCTCATCTCCCATTTATAGAACAGAAACACTGTAGCTCCCAGAAAGAGTTCCCTCCCTGCGCTGGCACACTGCTGCTATTTTGGTATTTGTCGGTTAAGAACACCTACCGATTGCCAATACAGAACAGCGCTGTTAGTTCAGTTAGGCAGCTTTCACTGAAAGCCAGTGTTCCAACCTCTGAACAATCAATTCTTCTACAGTGATATATTATGGCATGGGATTTCTAGATGAGGAACAGGATAAAGGCAAAATGGGTCACCCTTCCTCCCCTGTATTCCTGACACCCACCTGTCCCATTCAAGTGGACACAACAGTCTTCCCAGTTTTATAAGGCAGTACACTTCGGTAATGTTCAACTTAATCACTGACTTGTGTAGATCAGCAGCTGCTTATTCTTAAGTAACATCACTGTATCTATACACACTGCAAGAGTGCCCAGTATGTGTAGAATAACTTCTTTGTCCATGCTGCCATTGGCAAGTGGCTAAGCACAGACGCTTGTCAACCCGTTCTGCCTGCACTGTCCTAATGCCTTTACATTTTTTCCTCTGTGCAGTGTGGCCCGTGCTGGTCTCTCGCTGCCTGTTTCTGCAATACTCAATTCCCTCTGCTTAGCAGCTGCTCTGGCCTATACGCAGTCCCTCCAACTGGCTGGTCCTACATTGCAGTTTCACCTTCCTGAGCTCACACCAAAGGTCTTCTGCACCATCTTCAGGGCAGGACGGTTCACGTTCCCTGAGGGCTGATCAGGATACTCCAATCAAGCAAAGTAACTTGCCAGGGTAGCCCAACTAGTCCATCTTCTCCACTGGTCCTTCCTCTTTCCTTCCTCAGACCTTCTGCAAGGGTTGGCGTGGCTCTTCCCTTATCACAAGGGTGAGAACCTCCACCATGCTGAACACAAGTGTTCTCATTAATCCTCATGGTAATCCATGGAGGCGGGCCTTCCATGGTCTCCGTTTTTCAGATGATGAAACTGAGGCTTAAGGAAATTAAGGAATTTAATGACAGACAGCGGATCTAAAACTTGAACTCAGGACTGTGTATCTTTTTTTTTTTTTTGGCATGTTTATTTATCAACTGTTATTTGAAAGCAGGGAAAAAGAGAGAGAGAGATTTTCTATCTGTTGGTTTACTCCCCAAATGCCCACAATAGCCAGGGCGGGGCCAGAATGAAGTCAGGTTCTGTAACTTACTGGGTGTGGGTGGCAGGGACTCACGTCACCTGAGCTCTCATCTGCTGCCTCCGAGGCACATTACCCGGAAGCTGAATCAGACAGCATGGACAATCAACCCTAGGCACTTCGACATGGAACGCGGGCATCTCAAGTGCATCTTAACGCCTCTACCAAATGTCACCTCCCCCATCCTTTTTTCTTATCTGGGATTTACGTAAAGGAATTTGTGATTTTCTTGCATAATTTTTACCATTATTTTTTATTTACTTGAGACACAGAGATACAGAAAGACAAAGACACAGACACACACACACACACACACACACACACACACAGATCTCCAATCTGCTGCATCATTCATTTTTAAGGGATTAATAGGATATAGCTATATATTTTTTAAAGTCTTATTTATTCATTTGAAAAGCAGAGAGAGAGCGAGCGAGAGAGCGAGCTTCCATCTACTGGTTCACTCTCCAAATGCCTGCAACAGTTGGGGCTGGGCTAGGTAGAGTTAGAAGTCAGGAACTCCATCCTAGACTCCCACATGGGTGCCAAGAACCCAAGTACTTGGGCCATCATCTGCGGCCTCCAGGCAGTTAGCAGGAAGCTGGACTGGGAGTGGTGGCAGGGTTCAATCCCAGGCACTCTGATAAAGGAGAAAGGTATAGCAAGCAGCAGCTTACACCCACAGCGCCATAATGCCTGCCCCAGCCATATTTTTTAAAATGTAGATCAAGAGATTTCTGAAATCAATTTAATGTCTCCTAACTAGCCTTTAAAGAGTTAAGCAGAAAACAAATTTCATATACCCATATAGCAACAGCAGTTTAGGGTTAGTCAAATTTTCTTTGTGTATGCAAAGGTTTGCCATGTATTTTTTTTCCAAAGGGTTTCTATCGGAAACAACAGAAAGCCACAGAGCTATGAATGAAAAAGACACGATCCTGTTTCCACCCCTGAGAACCACTTACTTAATAAGATTCTTATCGCTGAAGGAATCCACAATATCTTCCATTATGAAAGAAAGTATAATTACAGAAAGATACTTAATTAATTCTGTATAAGAAGACTTCTAGATGCCCTAATAGTCAACCGAAACCCAAAGAGGATTTTATAAGTTAGCAACAGTATAATTTTCTTCACAGTGCAGTAATAAATCAGATTGAGAAGCAATTTATTTTATACTACAGAAAATCTGAGTACGTTTCTCATATGATTTAAAGGGCTCATTTCAGAGCAAAAATTCAACATGGAATTCAGTATAGAATCTAAAGCAAGTGATAAGATTTCATTTAGAACTATTTTAACTTTTCCAGATGAATCAAAAGCAAATATTACTTCCAAACAACTATTTTAAATTTCAAATCTGATAAGCAAAACTGTCTTTTAAAAATTGTGGGACTTAACACCCAACATTTAATTATTTAAAAGTGTAAAGCAGAACAATAGTTTGTGTCTCTTTTATAACTGCAAGGTTTTCCCTATTAGTGACCAAATCCAGTACCAAATAAGCTTCAGGATGGAGCTGGGCTGCATCAAGCCGTGCAGGCGCGTGCGTGTGTGTGTGTGTGTGCGCATGCACATGTGTTTCCTGGGAAGCACAGTAATATTCATTCATTCTTCTCTCTCTTCCCAGTCTCTTACATGTGTGCATGCACACATATACACCCCCAGGGACACAAAATGTCCTCTATGTATTGAGTGGATGTCCACCACTTCAACCCCCTCTATACCCAGCCACTTCACAGATCTCTGTTTTGTTTCTCCTCTACACTGGTCTGGAAAAAGTTCAGATCCTATAAGGGGACCTTGACAGGGCCACCAAATAGAAATGACACAGAATTTGAAACTCTTCGGGTGAGTTTTCATGATGGAATGTCGTCATGGCGGAATATGGTCAAGCTGAAACTGAGAGGGTGTCCATGAGGATGGGCTCTCATATTCATACTTGGTGTGTGCACTGTGGGGAACCAGGTGTGGGCTGGCAATAATTCTCACATTATGTAATCAAAAAAACAAAAACTGTGTTGGTGCTGGAGTTGTGGCATAGTAGGTAAAGCTGCCGCCTGCGATGCTGGCATCCCATATGGCTGCTGGTTCGTGTCCCAGCTGCTCCACTTCCCATCCACCACCCTTCTAATGTGCCTGGAAAAACCAGTGCAAGATGGCCCAAAAGGCTGGGTCCCTGTGGGAGACCTGGAGAAGCGAAGCTCCTGGCTCCTAGCCTTGGCTTGGCCCAGCCCCAGATATCGCAGCCATCTGGAGAGTGAACCGGAGAATGGAAGATCGCTCTCTCTCTCTTTCTCTCTGTATATATTAAATAAGCAAGCAACAGACCCACTGCTTCTGTGCCAGACAACACTCCAGAAGCACATGGTGGCTTTGTATTTGTTCCGGTTTGGTTTTATTTCTCCAGGTGATTTGTTTAAACCGCATCTAGAAAACATTTACAAGTGTGGACACGGTATATTGAATTCCTCTGTGCCTGCTGCCTTGTTTCAACAATTACCAACACATATCATCCATCACTCCACTGGGTCATTTTGATCTGTGGCAGACACTTCATCTGTAACTACACAATATGGACCCCTAAATCAACATTTCAAAAACCAATCATGATATCATTGCTGGACAAGAATAAGTAATTCTCTGAACATCATTAAATATCTAATCAGTTCTCAAGTTTCCTCCAATGACCTTACAGATTTTTAACATTTTTTAACAGTTTAGCAAATTTGCATCTGGTTGATATAGCCCTCAGGTGTCTTTAAATCAATTTATAGGTGTCCCCTTTTTTGTTATTGTTCTAATTTGTAATTTAAAAAATTGCCACATTATGGTTTTAAGTTAGGGTTTCATAGTAGTAAGGTGTAACTGTATGATGCACACTCTCATTCTGTGCCTTCTGATGAGTACCGTTCAAGTGTGGGTGGGAAAGTTTGCTTACGCGGCTAGTACCCCAACCTCTGCAGCTAGTTTAATGATATCCACAGAGCAGACACAACCCTTGTAAGAAATGCATTCTTCCGTTACGCCAGGGCATATATGCTAACACTTTTAAAAAATGGTCAAAAAACACAAACAAGGTATCTATAATAAAAGCTCTTCTCGGTCATAATTTAAGGCCCTGAAAGTTATTTGATTTTTTAGACAGTTTGATTCTTGATATCACTGCCCACTGACAGAAATGTTTCACTTCAGAGAGACGGAATTGTATGTACACAAGTGTTAACAGGGCTCACCTAATAATCATGTATATACAGACAAGGAACACACAGTACTGAGAGATATTTGGCCCTATAGACTGAACCTCACTACATGTGACAGTATTAACTCAATATTTAAATGTCCTAGTGATGTGTGACCGTGTTTCACAATGTAAATAATCACAGACACTTTTAGAGCCTGTCACAGCATGTGACACAAAGCACACAGCACACTTGCACTTTAATTCCCAGGAAGCCATGCCTTGACTGCTACAGGAGGACAGCCACCATGGAAAGAAACACAAATCAGCTCCGGGGCGGTGTGCGAGGCAGACCTACCATAGACCTGGGCTTGCTGATGGCCACCAGACCAGTGAGGAAGTCTTCATCGTGCAGCTGGCTGAAAACGTGCGCGTCATACGCGACCATAATGGACACCTCTTCCATCATCTTGCCAGCTGGCCTCTCCACGGCAGCAGCTGCCGCCCGGGCTCCAGACCAGACTGTCCGAGGAAAAGCCGGCTGCCGTTCCGTGCCAATGCACACACCCACCTGAGTTGCAGGGGCTGAATGTCAAAAATCCAGAAAGAAAAAGACACACACCGGGAGGAAAAAAAAAAGGAGGCAGCTACTATCTCAGGCTTGTCTAGCGACTCACCCCCAGTGGCAAACTAAATGAGGTCTCTTATCTATGCAGGAAGTATACTCTATAAACACCTTCTGCATTCTTAACCCAGCAGATGGAAAATTCAGTTTTTATATAACTTCTTTAAACTTCAAAAAAAAAAGATAAAAGTTTCTTAACTAGAAATATCCTATTTCAAAACACAAAAACAAAAATTGACTTATGTTCTCGGTTTGAAAAATTAATACTTCATCTTCTTCAGTTTTATTTACATGAAGATTCTTCTTGGAGAAGTAGATTTTCTTAATGCTCTTAGAGTTTATGTTTTCGTGTTCTTAGAAAATAAACAGATGACAACCATTTTAATTTCTCAAAATTTAGAGAATTCTTGGTAGTTAAAAATTGTTTCCTGAAGTTAATAAGGATTCTTTTTCCCCTCTGAGATTTCTGTTAAAAAAAGAAGTACCAAAAGATAAAAATGAAATAATTTTCAAAATCAATAATAATTTCCCCTTTACCCACTTAAAAAATAAGTATTTTAAACAGAATTTTGTTTTCTGTTATCCAAAAAACACTACAAGGGTCTCAGTTATAAACTGTTTTTCTCCCATAGATAAATATTCTCTTCATCTTTTATTTTTAAGGTTACCAAATCAGCAGATAGACATGAACTGATGGCATCTTAGCCATCAAAAGTATTTTTTGAAATCTAGCTGGATTTTTTGAAATCCAACCTCCATATGTCGGGATGAAAACTCTGAAAGCTACCCACGGTGATCACTGCAAGGCTGCCCCAGGTACCAGGAAACATAAAGTATGCTAACTCCCTGGAAAAACTATTACAAAGAATTAAATAAAACAGGGGGCGAGGGGGTCAGATAACGCTCCTCTAAAAGCTGTTTTCCCAATATTCCTAATTCAATGAGCCATCTCTGCCTTCCACAGATGACACTGCTGCGGCATGAGAAGTAGTATTTGCTTGAGCTAGAAACCAATTTGCCTACGTTTGTCTAAAATCAAAGGAAATACAGCCCCTGGATGGAGTTCTTTCATCTCCATTACCATAGCAGGGTCATGCTGCCTAAATTTATTTGCTTTTCAGAAAACAAACACAACTCCCAGTGACATCTATAGTGTCTATTTCCACATGTTTTCCTAAAGAATCTTCATGTAGATCAACATGATTACTTAATTAGTACCCTGTTCCATCTAAACGTGATTAGGAGTTCTACAACTGCTATAGCAGTCTAGATTAAAAGCTGACGCAGGTGGAAGGAGAAAAAAACACCTTATTGCTAGGAAACAAGCAAGTCTAATAGGCTTATTTAGGCAAAAAATGCAATATTTAAATAAATCCTCAAGATGAAAACAGCTTCAAACTGCTTGACCCTTGTTGGAGCCAGTAAAACACTTTTACTCATTATTTGTTTTCGACAAGGCAGCTTTGTCTTCTAAGCATTATTTTCGTTAACTATTTTTTTCCAGCACATTTATCTCAATGCTGACTAGCCAGGCAAAAATTAAAGGGTAATCAGGAGACAAGGCATTATAAAGTGTCCAGGCAGTTCGTACCTTGTAAATTCCTGTTTCCTCTGTATCTTTTCAGAAGTAGTTTAAAACCTACTGTGAAAGTCTTCATGCATTCACTGGCACCGGAATATTTCAGATTTATCTTGCAGCACCGTTTTCTAGTTGTGAGCACAATCCCTCTTGCTTTCATATTTTTCTTTGCTACAGTGACTCAGGGCTTCCACGCACTGATATCTGAATAAGGTGCTCGGACAAAGACACCTGTTGTGGAAGGTAAAGAGACGACTTCCCATAATGCCTTACTCCCTGCTGGCAACCGCCCAGGGGCAAACAGGAATTATAACCACTTGTGAGAGGCTGCGTAGGCACCCTAGGAGAGCAAGATCAGTGTTAACAATAGGTGATCTTCTTGGTTAGGAAGTGCACTCACAATCCAAGAAACAGGGAGCAGGCAAACAGTACCACACAGCCCCGGGAGATGCAGCGTAGTAAAACGAGAAAACTTTTAAGGCATCGGGCTGTAACAGGGCAAACGCATTTTTATAAACATCAAAGGCTGTAAAGTTTTAGTTTTACTTACACGGGAGCTAACAACTGCAAATAACTCGGGCCTTTTAGAATTCTACAGAGGTTCTTACGTAAGCCAACATTTTTTAAAAGTTCTTATTGTCTTCAAAAGATTGTTCTAATTAGCCACTGTGACTAGAATTACTATAACATTTTCTAACTAAATTCAGGAGGTCCTCTATCATAGCTACAGTGCATAGATTCTCTTGAGCAATGACTCTTCTAAGTTTGGTTTACAACCTTCCTTTTTTTTGTCTCCCTTAAAATATATTTTACTTTCAGAGTCTGAGAAGAAAAAAAATCCAATTGTTTTTTTCCTGTTTGTTTGTTTCCACAATTAAATGCACAGTTGTGGTTCCAACAAAATGTAAGCTCTTTGAATACCGATCATCTATTAGAAAACTGGCTGAACTGACTTTGTCCCTTTTCCTAAGACATTCTCTTTGGTCTCAGGACTACAGCCACATCCACACCGATCCCCCACCCCCTCCAAACTTCAGCAGTCGTGTTTACCTAGGGTCCTTGGCTCCCTTGCAAGACATTCTTGCGCCCACCACCCACGCTCTGCCATGGAGACCCACGGGTCTCCCGGGACTGTTTACACCTGAGTTTCCGCAGTACATTTCCCTCACACCAGACAACTGCATTGCGGGGGGAAAAGGCAGAGGGCTGGAGCATTACCTGAGACCAAGGGAAGTGCTACAGACAGCACCATGTGCTGCTAAAGGTTACCTGGAGAGGACTGTGTCAAACAGGCAGCAGGAGCCAAGGCATTCAAGGGGAACCAGCCAGTCCCCGGTTCTAACAGGAACTGGGCAGCTGTCCTCGGAGGGCAAGTCAGTAACTTCCCCTAGGTCTCCACTTCCTCATGGCCATGCAAATGGAGAGGGATGGACGAGATCAGTGGCTTTCACGTGTGTGCAGAGTCAAAAGCCCGAAACAGGGTGAGTGGGGATTTGAAGGTGGGAACGCCTTTTTAATCTCTATCAGATAAAATCAAAGGGTAACACTAAACGACAGGGTCCCCAGGGCTGCCACAATAGATCTCAGCAAATGTATTCTACTGGGTACTAGTCTGGATTTTCTAATGGCAATTCTTTTGCCTAAAAATAAGGATTTAATGATAGTAGCGATACTTTTAATTAGTTACAATATTTTTTTATGCTTTCTATTCAGAAGCCAAGCAGGCTATAAAATAATTTTCCAAAAGCTTTTCCGGATCTTACTAAGAAAAACCTAACAAATATCTCCATCGACTTCTACATGCTGTTTAAAGTTTGTGTACTGAAAGAGCAGCCCACTTCGGTGGCCCATTTTGTCTCAACGGTCATCCTACTAGGACTGTACTTTTCAGCAAAAAATATACCTGGATTGTACTGAATGAATATGAGTCAAATAAACCCTATCCTGGTCTTCAGAGAATGATTATTCTCAGGTGTCAAATTCAGAGAAGCCCAAAGCAAAAATCAAGAAAAGCCTCAAGCAGCAAGGCAAAAAAACTTCATTATGGATCTAGTATTTTGTTACCCACCAGTCAAAGCAGCAAATATATTAAAAAACGATCACTCCTCATAAAAATCATCTCACCTCACCAGAGTGTATATCAGGATCCTTTTCCCGTGTCTCTGCTTCTCCTTGTTGAACTTTCTCATCACAACAGCCATAAAACAAGATCAGATGGAAAGAAGACAAAACCACCGTGACAGAAATCTGGCTCAGAGGGCCAGGTCGCCTGAGCCTCCTGCTCCTATAGCCTGAGCCCTGCAGGAAGCCCACTCCTCCCGCCCAGCGGCCCCTCGTCTGACCATCCACGACCAAAGATGTTCCAAAATACCTCAATATACACATGCATGAAGTACACACAGCTCGAGGTCAACAGATCTCCAAAATCACACAATGTTCCTAGTGCTGACACAGAGACAGGGAACCCTAAGAAAAACAAAATTCTGCGAGTACTTTATTACAGAAAACCAATATTCCAAGCAAGTTTCTATCTACACTGAATAGAGTGCACACTACAAAATCCAAGTGCTCTAAATGGGAGAGCAAAAGATAGAACAAGCTGTGAATGAGAAACCATAGAAGCAGCCATAGAGGAGAGCTTTTCAGAATATTTTGGACTTCGGAATGGTCTAGTAACACCTACTGAATTTTTACAATGGTAAAAGAACAACAAGCAAAAAGATAAAGTGAAATCTCAGCTCTCTAAATTATGCAAAGGTAAATAAAGAAAACCATTATTCTTAGGTCGAGTTCTAGCCATTCAGCTCATTATCTTTCCTATCTTTCCTAGCAACTAGTAGGCAAATTCAAAACCTGAGAAAATGTAGATTCTTAAAAAAAAAATCCCCAGAGTTAAACTGAGAAAAAAACCCAAATCAGTGGGACACAAATACTTGCTTGACAGGTATCCTGGGTATCTGACTGCCTCATTTGCATCTCTCTGCAAAGAATGAGAGTGAGGTCGATTCCAGACTATGAAAGAGTAGCTGCAACTCTCTAACAATTCAGCTTTTCACCTCATTTCCAACTCCAAAATCCACAATTAGCACATTCACATTAAACCTTGCCTACCCAGAAGTAAGTGTTTCAAGTGGTCCCTAAGCCCAGAGTGAAGGTGGTTTTGGACAGGGCTGAAAGCCACGACTCACGCTTCACCTTGTCTCACTATGAGCAGAGTCGTCAGCTGAATTCTAAGGACAAATAATTTTCATATCTAAAATATTTACAAATTATGTTTACCAGTTTTACTAACATCCAAATCAAACCGTTCCCTGATGTCTTGCATTCATTTTGTCACAACCCAGAAGCAGGATTAGGCAATACGATAGGGTTTCATTTCAGGGCTCCTTGGTCTCAAGATTCTTCCTTCAGCGTGGCTAGCTCCTTTGCCAGGGGAGCCCCCGCTCTCTGCATTGGGTTACACACAGGCAGCTTGTAACAGAGGACTTTGCTAAAATTCTGCAGTGAGAATTCCATGAATTTCATGATATGTGAATTACGAGTGTATCAAAGCATGAGAGGGATTACAGACTTTGTAATATATAACACATACAAATCTAGTTATAACAATGAATATTTACAAAAAGTTTATAAAGGTAATTAGCAGCTAACATGTAATAAATACTCATCAAGTCTTAGACGCGGAATCTTATTTAGTCTTTACAATAAGTCAGTGAGCTGGGAACTCATGAGCTGGAAAACTTGAGTGATTAGACTCACAGGTAGCAGCAGAGTTGACAGGACTGAAAACGAGGTGTGTCTCTTTCCAATGCACATGCCCTTCGCCACTAAAGAGGACGCGGTAAGTAAAGCCAACACACCAGAACGCTTCCTTCACACACAAACACACACACACACACACAGAACTGACCGTGCCCAGCAGATGGTAACGTGAGTGATGTAGGACTGTGAGAGGAGGAGGTTGCTCTGCAGGCAGGGGAGCTCGGTGGGGGTGGGGTGGGGTGGGGACAGAAGTGGGCCTGAGTAGAGTGGTGAGCCCACGTTGCACGCAGTAGGAGGCAAATGTGAATTGGCCGTGCTAGGTTTCAACTGTCAAGCCCCAAAATGTGGCCTACATTTGGCATGTGGACCAAGGGCAGTCACTGAAGACTACCCGGCGCCTTCCTAGTCTCCATGTCCGCCCACAGAAGGAGAGTAACACGTGGGCTCCAGGGTGGAGAACTGCCTGCTGGGACACTTGGCCTGCTACTCACTGGCTGTGTGACTGCTCTGAATACCACAGACTGTGTGACTCATGAGCAACAGAAACGTCTCCCTCACGGCTCTGGAGCCTGGGAAATCCAGCGCGGAAGTTCGGCACTCTGTGTCTGGTGTGGGCCTCCCTTCCAGTTCAGACAGCTGGCTTGCGGCAGCCTAGCGGTGGAAGGGAGGAGCTCAGGCCGCCTTCCCAAGGGCACTAATCCCACAGCTAAGCCTCCTCCCGAAGCAGCTCCATCTTCCTGGTTGCTTCACTGGAGAGAGCAGCCTGGTAATTTACATGAATCCTCTGTCAACAATGACTGAGAAGAGTGGGAGGAGGCGAAAGCTTGATCCGGGCTGGGGGAGGTGGGGGGATCTCTAATTATTTGCTGCCAGGCTTTGGTTTCCTGACTACAATGCTAACCGAATTGAATCAATTACCTCTTATCAAATTGAGCAATTGTGACAAGAACAAGGAACAAAGAGAGCATTTGCTGCACAATGATATTCATCTGTTGTGACCTGATGAACAAAACATCCTTACTAGGGGCTACCGTGTGGAAATAAATAACCCTTCTTTCTAATTGTATTATAACAAGGTTTCCCACCGCTCATTTGTAGCTGAGCGTCAGGTGGAATACCCTGTGCAATAGCTTACAGGAGTGGTTTATCCTGAAGCTTAGAACTGACCAGAAAACACGGTGATCCACTCCATTGCAAAGACAGCACCTGAGTTTGAATTTGGACTGAAGGAGGAAAGAGAACAAAAGAAATCCATACTTAACACCTACCACCCTGGGATGAGCTTTTTTTTTTTTTTTAAAGATTTATTTATTTTACTTGAAAGTCAGAGTTACACAGAGAAAGGAGAGGCAGTGAAAGAGAGAGAGAGAGAGAGATCTTCCATCTGCTGGTTCACTCTCCAACTGGCTGCAATGGCCGGAGCTGCCCCAAACCGAAGCCGGGAGCCAGGAGCTTCTTCTTGGTCTCCTACGTGGATGCAGGGGCCCAAGGACTTGGGCCATCTTCTACTGCTTTCCCAGGAACATTAGCAGGGAGCTGGATCAGAAGTGGAGCAGCCAGGATTCGAACCGGTACCCATATGGGATGCGGGCACTGCAGGTGATGCCTTTACCCGCTACGAGACAGCACAGGGCCCTGGGGTGAGCTTTAACTATATTAACTATCTTATCTCTATTAGATCTTACACAGACTATGTGGCCGCTTTTATTACCCTTATTTTATAGAAAAGGATACCTGTCATAAGAGTTTAAGTAAGTTAAGTTGCATCACTGGTAAATCACAGCTACAACTAAGGGGCCAATGTCGTGGCACAGAGGTAGTAACCTGTGACGTGGGCATCCTACACGAGCACTGGGTTGTATTCTGGCTGCTTCATTTCTGACCCAGCTCCCAGCAACTGCACCTGGGAAAGCAGCGGAAAGTGAATTGAGCGCTTGGGCCCCTGCCACGCATGTGGGAGACCCAACTGAAGTTCCAGGCTTCTGGCCCAGCCATTGTGGCCATTTGGGGAGTAAACCAGCAGGTGGAAGATTCTCTCTCCCTCCCTCCCTCCAGCTGGTGCAGCTGTTTGGGGAGTGAACGAGAGGATGGAGGATCTCTCCTCTCTGTAACTCTGCCATTCAAGTAAATAAATAAACATTTTTTTTAGAAACAGAAAGAGGTATGATTAAATCTGAAATGCCTGATTACAAGGCTCAGGGTTTTTCTCCTCATGAGTGCAAGAGAAAAGAAAGGAAATTCAACTTATGAATAGTCCATGTCCTGGAATAAAAGCTTTTACATTTCCAAAGCTGGACTCTATGTTTCTGTTCTTAGTACTTTGACCTTAATGTTAATCATTGTACACTGAAAACTGAATTGAAAGTTTACAGTCTATCTACTATGTAAATCATCTGCAAATGCAAGGAACTTCGAAAAGATCACGGAAAACGGGCTGGTGCTGTGATGTGAGGAGTCAGACGAGTTAACAGGCAGCCAGGTGGCCCCCAGTGGAAATCGAGGGTGCAGAATGCTTGCTTTCCCCGAACGTCATCTTCAGCGAGATCAAAGTGCCGAATCCCACTGCACGTTTCTCCCCAAAATCTGCCTGTAGCAGAACCAAAGTGCCTGCCCATTCCTCAGGAGCTTCCAGTTTAGTCATGAGCATAGCAAGGGAGTGGCGTCCTAACTTACAAGAACCTCTCCCCTCGTTTGTTCTGTCATGAGCAGGCCAGACAGAGCCAGTACGATTGCAAACCAGGTTCTCTGATGGGTTCTGTCTGCCTTGTAACTGATCACTAGGTTTTTGTCCAAAATGGTGCCCCTTTGGGTTCTGCCTCTCTTGGAGGCCCCCTCCAAGGCACTTGCTTTTCTCTCTCTGCCTTGTCCGCGTGGAAATTCTTCTTCCATGTGAGACAAAGAACCGAAGTAATCTTTTCTCTGCCACCTGGTAGCCCATGACAGTGGCACGGTGGGATTAGCTGCCACTTGGACACCAACATCCCACTAAAGCACCAGTTGGAGTCTTGGCTACCTCACTTCTTTTCCAGCCACTGCTGATGCACCTGGGAGAGCAGAGGAGCATGGCCAAGTACTCGGGCCCTGCCACCCACGTGGGAGACCTGGAAGGAGCTCCAGGCTGCTGGGTTAGGCCCGTTGTTGCAGCCATCTGGGGAGTGAACTAGCACATGAACGATCTCTGTTCCCCCCTCTCTCATTCTGTAACACTGCCTTTCAAATAAATAAATAAATCTTAAAAATCAAAAGGTCATGGAAGAATGGAATTAAAAGATAAGGTTAGGCACAGTGTGAATCCCCCTCTTGGGACACACACACCCCATATCAGAGTGCTGGGATTTGAGGACCAACTCCACTCCTGTTCAAGCTTCCCGCTGATGCACATCCTGGCAGAGAGCAGGTGATGATGCAACTAGCGGAGTTCCTGTCACCCATGTGGGAGTCCTGCACTCAGTCCTCTTCTGGGCATTTTGGGAATGTACCAGATGATGACACTGAACCCCTCCACAAATTTCCCTAAAGCAGACAAGATAGCACGAGGATCCAGCCTCTGGTCTATTTCCCTTAGGCCAAGGTGTCCTTGCCTGTCTTTCAGAAAGAATTCTCTGGATTGATGGAGGGTACAGCTGGCCCTACAAGACGCTAATCATTTGATTCCAGGAACCACTTGGTGGCCAGTCCTGGTTTGTTTAGGGAAGTTCCAGGTCCAGGGTAGAATGTAACTCCCCAGACCAAATGAGGCACCTGCCTGGCCATCACTACCACCGCCTGAAGAACACAACTTGGCTGACCACGCAAGGCAAGGCCATGAGCATCAGTCACCAATGAGGAACTTGGACATGAGCTGAAGACACACCTCTCGGTCCCAGCTTCAAACCATAAGAACCATCACCCCCAACACCTTGGGGGGCCTGGAAATCAAGTGACAGCTGCCCAGCTCCTGGCTCTGTGCTTTGCAAATAAACGCAGTATTTACTTTCTTCCACCAGCGGTTAGATTTCGGCACATCCGCTGAGCAAAGCCCAGCGATGGGGGGTCTCCAGCAGCTCCTCCAACTAGTTTAGGGGGATTGTTCTACAACAGCAGGAGATGCCTGTCTGCTCTCTCTGCCTTTCAAATAAATTTTGACTAGTATTTTGATACAAAGAATTTTTGAAATACACGCAGTGTTTTTATGACATGCATTTTCTGTAGACTTTTTGGAAACACGCCATGTAAAGAAAAAGAAGGCTGACGGCAGCTCTCACTTTTCCCTCAAGTTACTGATGAGCTCTCTGCACCTAATAACAGTCTGCTACAACAGAAAACACCATCCGGACTGAGGCAGCATTATCCCAACAACCTGCTGGTGCTGGCTTGCATGTTCAAAATGCGCTTCCAGTTGGCTGCAAGAGTGTCAGTGAATGCTGACTGGCTAATAATAAAATCATCAAAAGCCCTTTATTTCTACACACTGGCCATGGCAGCAGTAGTGGCAATGCTCAGAACATTCCAATTTCACTCATTTGAATGGCAGTTTATTTTCTGCTGAATTTATTTTCTACAGATAGAGTTGAGGGAAGGCTAAGGAGAAGGCAAAAAAGACAATTTCATGGTTGAGGTTTAAACTTCTAGAACAGCAAGATGCCGGCCTCTCTATCTTCTTCCCCTCCCAAACAGCTGTGTCTCGTCAACAGTTCTTTTTGTCGTAAGCTATGTTGTGACACCCTGCACTTGTACAGCTGACCTCACTTACGCAAGGGCTGACAACATAAATGAAGTGAGAGGACCGTGTACCGTCACACAGTCTCTCAGATCTTAGTTCATAAACGGCCCTGCATTAGCCAGCTGTGGATGAACTGTTTTATTATTTATAGTGACCACGGCTGCCAGTAACTCATACTGCTTAAATAAAAAACCAACACTTTATATTGTGTTAGGGTAATATCTTTCTGAAGATTTTCCATTAAAAAAAAAAACTGTCTCTGACATGTGTGGAGGGTGCTTATCCATTACGCACAGTCACATCTTAGGAGTTCTTGCCTATGAGAAAAAACTCATTTGTGCAAAGCCTCGCTGCAAGACACCAATCTAAAGTGGCCGCTGTGCAAGGAGCTCCATTCTAAGAAAAAAGTTCTCTTTGAAAGCACACGGAGTTTCTCTCTTAAAAAAAAATAAAAAGAATTGATTTATTTGAAAGGCAGAGGGAGAGGGAGACAGGGTGAGAGAGAAAGAGAAAAGAGGGGGAGAGCTTCTATCTGCTGGTTTATTCCCCAAATGGCTGCAAAGGCCAGGGCTGGGCCAGGCGGACGCTGGCAGCCAGGAGCTCCACCCGGGCCTCCCGTGTGGGTGGCAGGAACCCAAGCACGTGGGCCCCTTCTGCCGCTTCCCCAGGGTGCACCAGCTGGGGCTCACACAGGACACCTGACACGCAATGCTGCTGCTACAGCTGCTTCACCTGTTGCCCCAGGGTTTTTCTCCGCTCAGACTTCCTGAGCACCAGTCACAGAAGTGCACGTGCACTTTCTATTGTTCACAGTTTTGCATGAATGGTCTTTAATTTTTCAACACCACAACACACAAAGGGAGCAATGAGCTAAAGAGAAACAGAGTGAAGAAAACTGGTCTGAAACTTGGAAAGTAAGGAAGCACTGTATGCCATGGTAGGAAGAAGCCCAAGGCCAAGTGGGGCCTGATGAGGCGCTGCGTGTTGCAGCACCACTCGGCATCCCGCGCTCTGGCATACCCTCATTAAGAGTTCTCAGACACTTCTGGATCAAATAACCAAAGCTAAACCACTGTGGGTGATATCAACCTCTTCACCGTAATCTCTAAGCAAGTCCCTCTCCTAAAATCTCAATATATTTCTTCTTAACATTTCAGGTTGGCCACATAGTGTACAGTCCTGTACTCAACCCATTAACAATGGTTCTTTACTCAGCACATTGTCATTGCTGGATATTTTGTTAGAAAAAATGAAAATGATGAACACAGCAATGCTACTAGGAATGGAAGAGAGAAGATGCTCATGCGATATACTGTGCATTTTTGTTGTTGCTACAAAGAACTCACACATAAAGTAACCATAAAAATGTAGAAACTGAACTGAAAAATGATGAGACTGACAGGGAAACAACTTCCTCTTGGTTTTGATGGTCAACACACAAAAATATAAACACAGAATAGAAAGTCCTTCGAGCCTTTACTAGGTATAGGTTTGCTAGTCATTTAGGCAGTTGCTAAGCAACACTCTTCTGTAGGGCTAAAGTGCATGAAATTAGCAGGTTTTCAGGAAAAGATAAATTGAATGAAAAATTAGGGAAGAGCAGAGAGGGAGAAAGCATTAACTTGCTAATTAGGCTGAAAGAGAGGTTTAGAGACTTTAGCAATAGTGCTTAAGCGTTTTCTTTCCTACCAGTACCAAATGAGACTTAAACACACCAATATTTTAATTTTATTGAAATAGTAATCATTACACTCACCTGTGCATGCAGACGCCTAATTATTCTGAATAGCTCAAATCAGGTCGGATACTCCAATTACTGCTACTACCAGTGATCACCATGGATCTTTGCCATTTATTTTTCTCAAATCCTCAGTTTCAGGGCATGTCACAATCTTAGTTTATGTTTTAAAACTTATATTTTTGGGGCTGGTATTGTGGTGTAGTGGGTAAAGCCACCGGCATCCCATACGGGTGCTGGTTCAAGTCCTGCCTGCTCCGCTTCCGATCCCGCTCCCTGCTAACGGCTTGGGAAAGCAGCACAAGCTGGCTCAAGTGCTTGTGCCCCTGCACTTTGTGGGACACCCTGCTGAAGCTCTTTGCTCCTGGCTTCAGATGGGCCTAGCTCCAGCCACTGCGGAGTGAGCCAGGGGATGAAAGATGTCTGTCTGTCTCTCTCTCTCTTTCAACTCTGCGTTTCAAATCAATCAATCTTTAAAAGAAGTTTGTTTTTGAAACATGAAATTGGTAAAGCTACAGCTTCATGATGCTGCCTTGCAACTACAGATGGCTAGACGTCTGTGATGAGGGCCCCAAGCGTACACAGGGGAAAGGACAGCTGCTTCAATAAACGGGGCTATGAAAACTGGACTCCCACACAGCAAAGAACAGAATTGGACCCCTGCTATATCACAATAAAAATTAAATGTAAGACCAGAACTCACAAAACTCCTAGAAAAATACATGGAAGGAAAGTTTGTCATACTGGTTTTTTGGATTTGATATGACATCACAAGCACAGGCAATAAAGGCAAAAATGAACAAGTAGAACTACATCAAGCTTTTAAGCTTCTGCACAGCAAAGAAAATAACTGACAAAATGAAAAGGCAACACATGGAATGGAGAAGGTATTTGCAAACCATATATAGAATGAGAAGCTAGTATAAAAATATATAAGAAATTCATATAACTCGATAGCAAAAACAAACAAATCCATCAAATAATCCAATTTAGAAATGTATGAAGGACCTAAATAGATAATTTCCAAAGACAATATACAAATGGCCAACAGATATATGAAAAGATACTCAAAATTATTAATCACTGTGGAAATGCAAATCAAAATCATACCTCATACCTATTAAGATAGCTATAATCAAAAGTTCAAGAGAGAGGCTGGTGCTGTGGCATAGTGGATAAAGCCATCGCCTACAGTGCCGGCATCCCATATGGGTGCCGGTTCAAGTCCCAGCTGTTCCACTTCCCGATGCACCCCTCCGCTAAGGCCTGGGAAAGCAGAAGATGGCTCAAGTCCTTGGGCCCCTGCATCCACATGGGAGACCAGGAAGGAGCTCCTGGCTCCTGGATTTGGATTGGCCCAGATCCAGGCATTGCGGCCATTTGGGGAGTGAACCAGCGGATGGAAGACCTCTCTCTCTCTCTCTCTCTCTCTCTTTCTCTTTCTCCTCTGTCTCTCTATAACTCTCTTTCAAATAAACAAATACATCTTTTAAAAAAGATCCAAGAGATAATAAGAGTTGGCAAGGATGTGGATAAAAGGAAACATTTGGACATGGTTGGTGGGAATGTCAATTGGCCTAGCCACTATGAAAACAATACGGTGGTTCCTCAAACAATTAAAATTTGAAATTCTACATGATCCAGCAATTCCACTTCTGGATATATACCCAAAGGAGATGAAATCAGCATCTTGAGGAAATACTGGGATTCCCATTTGCATCACAGCATTATTCAAAACAGCCAAGACACAGAAACAACCTAAGTGTGTGTGATGGATGAACAGATACAGAAAATGTGATCTATGGGCCAGAGCTATGGCGCAGTGGGTTAAGACGCTTCCTACAGCACCAGCATTCCACATGGCACCAGTCTGAGTCCTGCCTGTTCCACTTCTGATCCAGCTCCCTGCTAAAGCACTTGGGAAAGCAACAGAGGATGGCCCAAATGCTTGGGCCCCTGTCACCCACATGGGAGACCTGGCTCCTAGCTTCATCCTGGCCCAGCCCTGGCTGTTATGGCCGTCTGGGGAGTGAACCAGCAGATGGAAGAAATCTCTCTCTCTCCCCATGACTTCCAAAACAATATATAAATAAATCTTTAACAAATTTGGTTCTTCAATATCAGCACAGAATAACTTTTTACAGATCTCACTATACTAAGAGTTTTTTGAAGTGCTCATGGAAAATGCATATTATGAAAAAAAGTATTCATGGATTTCAAATTTTTTTGCACCAAAACAAACTTACTTTTTAATTCCATCTTTCCACAATCTATTTAAAGTATCCTCTTACCAACTCAATGAACAAAGAAGAACGTTGTTTAATCTACTGAGTCTAACAATGAAAACTCATTAAAAAGGAAATAGGCAAATAACTGAAGGGAAAATCACTGTAGAATTTCAACTACGGTGAGAAGAAGGGCAGGGAGTGGAACATCACTTTGAGAAATGGATGGAAAATTTCCCACCTTCTCTCTGTACCGCTCTTTCTCAGTGTTTAGTATTATGCTGCAAGTAGGATAAAAGGTATTACGGTGCAGTTGCCAATCTCTTTATTCATTATACCACTTCCCTCCCACATTATTTATTTATTTATTACTTGAAAGGCAGGGAGAGAGGGAGAGAGAGAGAGAGAAAGAGAGAGAGAGAGGGAGGGAGAGAGAGAGAGAGAGAGAGAGAAATTTTCTATCCCTGGTTCACTCTCCAAATGCCTACTTAACATCCGTGACTGGACTAGTTCAAAGCCAGAGCCAAGAACTCATCCAAGTCCCAGTGGGGTGGCAGGGACCCCAGTAGTTGAGCCATCATCTGCTGACTCCTGGAACGCACATGAGCAGGAGGCTGGAATCGGGAGTGGAGCAGGAATTTAAGCCCAGGAACTCTGGTATGGGATGTGGGTACCCCACGTAGCCTCTTGACCGCCATGACAGATGTCTGCCACTCAGCACTTTCTAAATGCCATTTTAAGCAAATCTTGATGTGAAAGCTACTGAGACTATCCTTATCAAATGTGCCCATGAAAAGAATCTATATTTGTGATGCCTAGTTTCATGGAGAAGAAAATACCTTGTGTTTGGGTTGTAATAATGCCTTGTGTTAGTTCTGCAACCAAAATATCATGTATGTTTAGATAGGCAGCTTACTTTGTTTTAGTTTAGTTTTTAAAAGATTTTATTTATTTATCTGAGAGGTAAAGTTACAGACAGAGAGAGGGAGAGACAGAGAGAAAAATCTTCCATCCAATGGTTCACTCTGTGAATGGCTACAATGGCTGGAGCTGAGCTGATCCAAAGCCAGGATCCAAAGCCAGAAGCCAAAAGCTTCTTCCAAGTCTCCCATGCAGGTGCAGGGCCCCAGGGATTTGGCCCATCTTACACTGCTTTCCTAGGCCTTAGCAGAGACTGGATCTGAAGAGGAGCAGCCAGGACTCAAAATGGCGCCCATAAGGGATGCCAGCCCCGCAGGCAGAGGCTTTACCAGATACACCACAGTGCCGGCCCCCCAGCTTATTTTATTTTAATTGGACTGAATGGCTGGTCAAGTCTACTGTAACAGTTTAGGACTGCATTTTGAAGCATCTTGCTATATAAGAACTATTATTTGTGAAAGAATTACTTGAGCTTTAAACCTGATCCAATGGTATAATTATACTGTCCCATAGAGTAGGATCTTTTGAGTACTCTCTATTTTTGTTTTCTGGAGTAACAACCATGTCTCAGACCAAACTCAAGAATCCATGGTAAAGGTCTAACTGTCCAGGTAAGGGTCAAATGCCAAGAGAGAAAGCAGTACCTATTGATAAGCATAACTGAGCTATGAAGTTTTTATGAACTTTCATTTTATTTTTATAACCTACCAGAGTATCAACAGGCTGCAGGAATAAGATGACATTTCTACACAGAATGGAAATGAATGTGTTAACTGAACATTGCCCACAAAATTCCAAATACCTTTAAATCTCAGTTCTTTTGAAAATGTCTTTGATTTGAGCCTTTCTTTTTAAAAAACGGCATGGCTTTTAATAGTCTCTCTGAAGAGTTTTTAGTCTTTGCTTAACAGGTGCAAAAAAGTGAGTGCTACAGACAGAAGTGAAATGCTTACTTCAGGATTCTAGAAAACCATAGGTGAAATTTAGATTCATGAGATGTAAGAGTTAAGGGCTGGCACAGTAGGTTAATCCTACTACTGTGGTACAGCAGGTTAATCCTCCGTCTGTGGCATCAGCATCCCATATGGGCACCGGTTCTAGTCCCAGCTGCCCCTCTTCCCATCCAGCTCTCTGCTGTGGCCTGGGAAAGCAGTAGAAGATGGCCCAAGAAAAATAGGCATGGGAAATAACTGGACAATTTCTGCTTCAGTGGCTTTCTCAGAATTCACCCAGATCTTGTATCCTAGGATTGAAAATTTAAACACATGGTGGAGGGGCTGGCGCTGTGGCTCACTTGGTTAATCCTCCGCCTGCGGTACCTGCATCACAGACGGGTGCTGGGTTCTAGTTCTGGTGCTCCTCTTCCAGTCCAGCTCTCTGCTGTGGCCCGGGAGGGCAGTGGGGGATGGCCCAAATGCTTGGGCGCCTGTACCCACATGGGAGACCCGGAGGAAGCTCCTGGCTCCTGGCTTTGGTTTGGCTCAGCTCTGGCTGTTGTGGCCATTTGGGGAGTGAACCAATGGAAGGAAGACCTTTCTCTCTGTCTCTCCCTCTCACTGTCTGTAAAACTCTACCTCTCAAATAAATAAATAAAATATTAACAACAAAAAAAGAGTTAAACAGCCCCTACCCCTCTACCCTACCCCCTGGGACCCTCGAAGTCAACCACTTATCTCAGAGGTTCCAAGACACAGAGAGGTTCAGTGGCAAAATCAAGATGGGCACCAGCACTTCCAACTCTCAAGCAAGGACCCTAAGGAAAGCCGAAAGCATGCTTTATCTCAGGATACAGTTATTCCTGGTTTTCCAAAGAGCACAAACTCTTAGTGCCACATAAGGTGTCACTGTCTTTTCTTATTTCATTAATTTGAAAGTCAGAGTGATGGGGGCTCGGGGAAGATCCTCCAGCCACTGATTCATTCCCCAAATGCACACAACAGACAGGCCTAGGCCAGGCCTCAGCCGGGAGCCACGAGTTCCCCCGGGTCTTCCACATGAATGGCAGAAACCCAAGCACTTCAGCCACTATCCACTGCCAGGCGCAGCAGCAGGAAGCAGGGTCAGGAGTGCAGAGTAGCCAGGACTTGAACCAAGTACTCCAACACAATCCTGGGGATGCAGGCATTCCAAGTGACAGCCTGGCCTGCTGCGCCACAAGGCCTTCCCTTTCAGTATCTTTTGGACTGAAGAAGCTGTGGGCCTGAGAGGGGCCCACGTGACTGTCCTGGTTCACATTCGCTCCAGATTCCAGAAGGAGGCCAGAAATAGGTGATCCGGGCTACCTGATTGTAGCAGTAGGCTTGAAGCTGAGCCCTCACACAGTGCCTCTGTCTCTGCTGTTGGACACCATCAGCAAATCAACCTCGCTAAATTCAGGGAGCAGCACAGATGGCGCCACAGAGCTCTCGATCCGAGACTCAGGAAGGCACTTATCTCCCCTACGGATAATATCTTGATGTTTGGTCTTGTCTGGAGGTGTTCTCCAGCAACCCCGGGCCCTGAGCAAGAAGTAACTTCCACCGGACTGACTGGAGCCCGCCTTGCGATCATCAGAAATCCCAAACGTACACACTGTCACTTGGATCAACCGAAGGAGGGCCGTGAGCACTGGGGACGACAGGGACACCTGTACACTAGCTGAACATCCACACCCCTTAACTCAGCTGCAGTCTGAACGAATCTGTACCCCTAACCCTTCAGAGAGCCCGGCAACTAGGCGCAGCAGCTGGGCTCCTTGCTCCGCACTTTGCAAGAAATCCCCACTTCCTTCCACCGACTGATGTCAGCGATCGGCAGACTCGGGTTTTAGGGGTTCTGCAATAGACTCACGTAACGTGAAATCAAGCATCCCTTCCAGATATAATTTTGGGTAATTTATTCTCTTTATTGAGAATACCATAGAGAAAACATAAAAAGGTGCTGGGACAGAAAAAAGAAGAGGGACTATTTAAAAAAAAAAACATTAAAGAGAAAAATGAGGCATTTACATGAGTCTATTGCAGTCATAATTTTTAAAAGGCAAGAAGTTTTATTTCAAATTCACTGGTGGAATCTATAAATATATCACTCGTTTCCTGGTTGCTTAGGCCATTAAGGGTCTAATCTATTTCCTGAGCTGAAACCAGCTAATGGAAAAATATTTAGAACAGTAATCATCCAGTGAGATGAACATTTGGCATCTACTCACCCAAAACGTATTCCTGTTCAAAATTCTCTTCCATAATTTATATGGAAGAATCTCGCTTTTCACAATGAAAAGACTTTGCTTTAAAAAACCATGGCAAGGCTCCCTTCCCGGTAGTGTCTGATGAACAAGGCTAGTCCTCCGTGACATTCTTTAGTCTCAGCCCATGTGTAATAAGGGACCTGGAAGTGTATTATTTGTTTTTTTTTTTTAACTTATTTAATGAGCATAAATTTCCAAAGTACAGCTTATGGACCACAATAGCCTCCTCCCCCGGAAGTGTATTATTTGTTTTTCCTGCAAAGCAAGTGACCCATGCAATCAATGAAGAGGAGATACAAACAAAATATGAGGCCAATGTTATTACGACGAGAAAAATAAAATTTCTATATTGAAATGGAAACCTGTTAAAGGAGTTTACTGCACCACTGATTTGCAATACAAACACCAAATCACAGGAGGCCACAATCAGAGAAAGCAGACTGTGGTGGACTAACTGATGCTGGATTTGCCACGTGAAGCCCAGGAAATAACAGGCACCACTCCTCTCAAGTCTCATCCCCACAAGTTTCTTTCTCTTTTGTGTGCACATCACGCTGTTGGGTCCACTCAGACAACCAACACTGTGAGAAGCATTACCCAGAAGATAAACATGCCAGAGGAAGAACTAAAACTGGGAGAGGCAAGCAGGGCTTTGGGGTGACGGGTATCACTCATTCTCCTTCTGCCGTGGTCTGCCGGGTCTGGCCGTCAGGTCCTTCTGCCGTGGTCTGCCGGGTCTGGCCGTCAGGTCCTTCTGCCGTGGTCTGCCGGGTCTGGCCGTCAGGTCCTTCTGCCGTGGTCTGCCGGGTCTGGCCGTCAGGTCCTTCTGCCGTGGTCTGCCGGGTCTGGCCGTCAGGTCCTTCTGCCGTGGTCTGCCGGGTCTGGCCGTCAGAGGGGCTGCACATGGCAGCTCCTAAGGCACTTACTCCACACAGCTCACTCAGGATCATGCACAACTCTGAAATCTCGGCCCACCAGCACCTGTAAATGATGGCTTATACAGAAGCTAAAGCCCAGTGTAAGGCGTACTTTGACTAAATAAAAGATTATCAGACTTCAAGAAGAAAGTCTTGCTTTCTTTCAAACAGCATTCTGATCCTATTTTACAAGTTATTACCTTTTTATGATCGAGACACCAATCAATGATAAGCCATTTTATATTTTTTGGTACAATGCATTAATCTAATTCTTGCCACTCCAAACGCTTCAATCCACAATAGAATCGCAACACTTATAAACAGCTCATGAAAAAGAAAACAAAGGTAAACATTTAATTTCATGGTCAAAAGAAAAATAACAAAATTCTGCTAAATATGTTCAATATTTTCTTTATAGAAACTTGATTATCCAAATAGAATAGGTTCCTTTTCGATCTGCTAGTCACATTCCTACACAGCCATTAAAATTGGTTGTCTAAATTTTTTATTTATGGATTTCACATTTATCATGGATAAATGTTTTTATAATACACTACATGATGATATTATACACAAAGTAGAAGCACTCCCTGGAAAGAATTAACAGGTTTGTGATAACTAGGAAAGAAAAACTGGACCATGGACCTTACTAGCAAAAAGGAAAGACTTCAACACTCAGTCTCAGAGACTCACTCAGATAGCAATGACGCACCTGTGACAATGCTACAAAGCTGGGTGAGTGACACTGTCAGACAGTAGTGACATGCTTATGACAATACTACAAAGTTGGGTGAATGACACTGTCAGACAACAATGATGCACCTACAACAATGCTACAAAGCTGGGTCAGTGACACTGTCAGATAGCAATGATGCACCTGTGACAATGCTACAAAGCTACACTGTCAGACAGTAATGACATGCCTATGACAATACTACAAAGTTGGGTGAATGACACTGTCAGATAGCAATGACGCACCTGTGACAATGCTACAATGCTGGGTGAGTGACACTGTCAGAGAGCAATGACACACCTGTGACAATACTACAAAGTTGGGTGGGTGACACTGTCAGATAGCAATGACGCACCTGTGACAATGCTACAATGCTGGGTGAGTGACACTGTCAGAGAGCAATGACACACCTGTGACAATACTACAAAGCTGGGTGAGTGACACTGTCAGAGAGCAGTGACACACCTGTGACAATGCTACAAAGCTGGGTGAGTGACACTGTCAGAGAGCAGTGACACACCTGTGACAATGCTACAAAGCTGGTGAGTGACACTGTCAGACAGCAATGACACACCTGTGACAATGCTACAAAGCTGGGTGGGTGACAATGTCAGAGAGCAGTGATGCACCTGTGACAATGCTACAAAGCTGGTGAGTGACACTGTCAGATAGCAATGACGCACCTGTGACAATGCTACAAAGCTGGGTGAGTGACACTGTCAGAGAGCAGTGACACACCTGTGACAATGCTACAAAGCTGGGTGAGTGACACTGTCAGACAGCAATGACGCACCTGTGACAATGCTACAAAGCTGGCTGAGTGACACTGTCAGGAATGACACACCTGTGACATGCTACAAAGCTGGTTGAGTGACACTGTCAGAGAGCAGTAATGCACCTGTGACAATGCTACAAAGCTGGGAGATGACATTGACTTGCCATGCTGCTTTTTGCTGCTTTTCTACACAGAATTCAGACTGAGGGTAACTACAAAATAATTCCATACATTCTTAAATTCTACACTTTTCCAAGACCTGACAGGTTTTCCTTCTCTGTGGTTCTCAGAGTTAATATTTTCAGGTGAAAGCTTGCAGAAATACAATCAATTGATAAAAAGTAAATACATGTAGGCCAATGCTGTGGTGTGGAGGGTAAAGTTGTTGCCTTTGGTGCTGGCATCCCATGTGGGCGCCGGTTCCAGTCCCAGCAGCTCCACTTCCCATTCAGCTCTCTGCTGTGGCCTGGGAAAGCAGTACAAGATGGCCCAAGTCCTTGGGCCCTGCACCTGTGTGGAAGACCCAGGAGAAGCTCCTGGCTCCTGGCTTTGGATTGGAGTGGTTCCAGCTATTGAGGCCATTTAGGGAGTGACCCAGCAGATGGAAGACCTCCATCCCTCTCTCTCTCTCTCTCTCTCTCTCCCTCCCTCCCTCTCTCTCTCTCTCTCTCTCTCTCTCTCTCTGCCTCTGCCTCTCTGTAACTGCCTTTCAAATAAATGAAGTGTAAAAAAAAAAGCAAATGTCTTCCACCACATTTAACCAAAATATATAATTAATTGAAAGATAAGTTCCAATGTACGATAACTTGAAATGCTGAACTATCTTTATTGACTTTTAGATAAGACTGCTACTGTAACAAAACTGGATTAGCTCAAAATTTTAGAAAGGCAGAGAGAGAGACAGAGAGACAGAGAGAAGTCCTCCATCTGTAGTTCACTTCCCAAATAGCTGCAATGGCCAGGGCTGGAACAGGACGAAGCCACGAGCCAGGAGCTTCACCCAGGTATCCCACATGGGTGCAGGGGCTCAGCTCAAGTACTTGGGTCTTTTTCCAATGCTTTAGCAGGGAGCTGGATCAGAAGTGGAGCAGCTGGTATTTGAACCGGTGCCCACAAGGGATGCTGACAGTGCTGGCATCCTTTTGTCTAATTTATTAACTTTCATCTTTATTCTTCCTTGTTTTAGGCTATTTTATTGTTAATGTTTTCAACTTCTAAAAAATTTTTCATAATACACATTTTCCATGAAATTATTTTAACTTTGTAAGTTAGATATTTGATTCGGTTATTCTTTTCTTTTTCTTCATCAAGAGAGGTGTTTTCTGAGCTCTATTTCAACTGCATCCCATTGGCTGCTACACACAGTGTTTTCATTATGCCTTTTTCCTTGCTTTTTGGTAACCTGTTTTGCTTCCTCTGTGATCTGGGAATAGTTCAAGAAGACAGGTTTCAATGTCCAGGTGAGGTGACTTTTTGGTTCCAACTATTCCTGAATTCTAGTTTTCCTGCCATGAGATCAGAGAATGCTGTATGCACTCCTCTTGCCTTTAGAAACTCACTGACATCTCCCTTCTGGTCTATTTTTGAGAATGTTTGTTTGACACTTAAGAAGGTCTACTCTTAACTTTCAAAAGTTGACAAATAGCAAATAATTCCCTTATTCATTATCTTTTATTTGGGTTTTGTGCTCTTTCTTGTCCCCTGGGATTTTTCTTTTTTGTCCACTTGGTCTCTTCTGAACTAAAGGAAGTGAATTAATGTTTCCTGTCAGTATTAAGCCACAAGTTTTCTCACATTTCATGTAGTTCCTTGCTTTGTGGATGATAACGCTGCACTGCTGCCTTGGATTATCTTTGTCTTAAAGCGTTTTCCTCTAAATTCAATTCCGCCTGATATTAAAAATAGTTTCTCTACTTTTTTTGTTCATGTTCTTTTTTTTTTTTTTTTTTAAATCTTACGTGTTTGATTCTTAACTCAGCCCATTATTTGGACCATCTTCCACTGCTTTCCCAGGCCACAGCAGAGAGCTGGATCGGAAGAGGAGCAGCCGGGACTAGAACCGGCGCCCGTATGTGATGCCGGCGCTTCAGGCCACGGCTTTAACCCACTGCTGCTTTATGCCTATTCAGGGCCAAGGAGGCACTCCGACTGTCCAGCTACAAATCTCCTCCCAAATTCGGAACAGGGATTGTTGGAACTTCCCACCAGGGTCTTCTGCAAGCTTTGTCCTTCCTTCAGCTACAGCTATCATTGTCATGTAACACACAAATCTACTGAGATCTCTGAAGATAGGGTTAGTTTTTCTTCTTATTCTTACTTTTTTGGTTCTTCCAGTGCAATTGAATGATTTGTAAGGGAGAAGGAGGATAATGTGTTGATTTCTGCTTTGTCATTTTAAAATTAGAATCTAGAATTTTTTTGTCAGTTTTCCTCCATAATCTCATTCGTTGTCATGCACTCCAGCCAAAGGCTAGGCTGTTCCCAGTGCTCTGCAGATGTCCTTGGTAACAGTTGTTCTGTCTCTCAGTCCCCTAATGAGGAAGGCTTCCTTAAAATCCCTTTCATGGTTTCTGGGCTGTTTCACACTTTCCATCTTTATTTCTCCCAGAACTTTCTGGGAACTCTATTCTTGTTTTTGACTCGTGTGCCTCTCTGTAGTTCAGTATAGTCTGCCTGAAAAAATATTCTTAACAGTCCATTAAAAGATGAACTTTAAAACTTGAGCTAATAGAGGGGCCAGTGCTATGGTGCAGTGGGTTAAAGCCATGGCCTGAAGTGCCGGCATCACATGTGGGCGCCGGTTCTAGTCCCGGCTGCTCCTCTTGCGATCCAGCTCTCTGCTATGGCTTGGGAAAGCAGTAGAAGATGGCCCAAGTCCTTGGGCCCCCGCACCTGCATGGGAGACCCAGAAGAAGCTCTTTCTTGGCTCCTGGCTGGGGATCAGCACAGCTCCAGCCGTTGAGGCCATCTGGGGAGTGAACCAGTGGATGGAAGACCTCTCTCTCTGTCTCTACCTCTCTCTGTAACTCTTTCAAATAAATAAAATAATAAACTCTAAAAACAAGAAGCTTAAGCTAATATAAAGATTAAAGCTGAACTTTAAGCTAACGTCAAGACTGAAGTTTAAGCTAGAACAATAGCTAAGCTACCTTACGTGCTCAGTAACGTTTCACCTACTAAGTGCAACGTCCTTTCCTGGGCATTGATGGGGCACAGCAAGGCAAATGCTTCAGGAACTTGGAAGGGAAATGAAGAAACACTGTTCTCAAGCTTTTGGCTACGCCTGCATATTTCCATGTGAAAAGCTGTGTTGTAATCACCCATCTCCCTCTCTTATCACATAACTTCTCTTAAACTATGACATATTTACTGGGTGTGTGCATGTGTCCAAAGTCTCTATCTTTTTCATGAGCACAAAAACTGCTATTGTTCATCAGTCCTTGACTTACAGAGCTAAAATAATTAACGCTGAACTCCTACAGCAGCTGGGGAAATCAGGTTCCTTTGTCTACAA